GTCAGCAGCCGGGGGGTGGCGGAGCACATCCCGCCCCGGCCGCGGCCCCCCGACGAGACACCAATGGGCTCCGGCTCCAAACTTGGTACCAAAAGGCGCTTTGGAAGACCAACACTCCTACACCTTTGTCTGGGGCGCTGAAAGTATATGACCATCCCTCTTAATTCTGCAAGGGGAGGATGTTTTGCAGTGGGACCGCGGAACTGCTTTAGAAAAAAAACCTAAAACGCCGAACAAAACTCTTACTGGCTTCAGTGAAATAACAGCGTTCTCCAAATGCAAATAGGGAACGCTATCATGTGTCCGGGAATAACAGTGGCTTGTTTATTTATTTTTTAAACTACCAGTTTCAGTTACATATGCCAGCACAAATTTTACCCCTTCGCTCAGTGATCAGTTATCTAAAAAGAGGTGCCATGAAATAAAACGCTCTCAGACCACTTCCTCAGTGATCACAAGAAACAGAATAAAAGCAGTGGGGAAGAGCAAGTGTCTGAGGTCAGCGAGGCATACTTTCTAACAGCTCAAAAATCACTGCTTTCATCCAAATCACTGATTCAGGGTCTATCTCTAAGAAACAGCCTTATCAGAGAAATGCAACAAGTAATGGGCTTGCTGAGGTAAGTTTCTCTCTGTCAAGATCATGGACCTGTAATACTCAAGACAGCAGAATAACTGGCACTTTATATTGAGAAGGGCTGTTTGGGCTTTAAGAACTAAGACCAAAGGGAAAAATTATTGAAAAAAAAGTTTTTGAACATCTGCATGAAAAAGATCATTCACATATGGCCTTCTAGAGTGTGATTCTGGCACCACGTTTCATCATTTTTTGTCAATTGCTAAAACTGGGGGAAAGGGTAAATAATTCACGCACAGAAATAAATAATGACTTCATGTAAATCTAGCGGCCTAAAATGTTACGAGCAGTAGTAATTCATTTTTTAAAATGCTGACACATACTGTGAACTCATAATGAAAAATGTGTCCTTCAGAAAAATCCCCGATCAAGATCCAAGAATAAACAAGAGTATGACGTGTCATAGACTGCCTTGCAAATTCAATAAACCTTTAAAGAGGAGACACTTGCCTCACAAAGCAGGCACGGAAAAGAAACACAAAAAGCAACCCTCCCCAAACAACAGCAGTTGTACTTCCTCCCTCCTAAGCAGGCACGCAGTACTTTTCCTACTCCAAGTGGAGATATAATAGTAATCATGACAGGACTAGGATTTCATGATCTAATCATGACAGTATTAGCATTTCACAAGCGATGTATTATATATGTTTTTGTCAATAAACTGACTCAGCATTTAAAACTCTCAGCCTGATGAAGCCACAGCTCTCCCCCAAAGTTAACAATGAAGACAGCTCACTTCTGAAATCCACTGGCAAGCATGCATGCATGCATCCCCCAAAGTCTTACCTCATCCTTTCACAAGGGAAAAAATCCCACCCTATCAAGCTGTCAGGACTCCAGTGGTTTTCCATGAGGTCAAAACCAGAATCAGGTTCCCTTGCTGACCCCACAAACACTGATGTGCGAGAGCAACACGCACCCAGTCCTGATCCCACCAAACAAAATCAAACTTTGAAGGCAGAGAGAAAAATATAATGTTTCACATCAGAAGTTGCTAGAACGCAAGCGGAATTATGCCATTTACAACTTTTTCGCCCTGCAAACAAGCAGCAAACAAGTGACCTGTCCGTATATTCACAGGACCATAGCTTTCACAGAAGGTGAGGAAAAAAAGCATCAGACTGACCCTTTCTGTCAGAGCTACTTTAGAAATAGTCAGGGTTCAAAAGTTCCTATTGCTCCTTACAGTAGGTGCTATTCAGCGCAAATAAAAAACTGGGGGGAACTCTAGAGAACAAAAGGAGGATGTCCTATATTCAGACTCCCACTAGCAGGGAGCTGCATGGGTCACATTTTACATGGAAGAACCAGGGATCTTTCAACAACTTCTCTCTCCCCCCACCTTGTATACAGAGATGGCAGCAATCCTCCTACCCCGATTCACTGATCTGAGCTATAGTGTACGGAAATTACACCTTGGCGTTTCCAAACACAGCACTGGGAATTCTGAAAGATCCTCGGATGTCTCCTGCCGTGGCAGCAGGACTAAACGGAGGCAGAGAGAGCAAGCAGCCTAGGCAGCCAATCAGTCACCAGCCGGCTGCCGAGGATCTGCCCGAGCTGTCGTGTTGCTGGCTCATCCTTCAACCAAGAAAACATCCTATATCACACAGCGGAGTGGCAGCTTCATCTCCTTCCCCCCTCCCACCGCTCCACCAAAGCACGACCTATCTAACGATGCAATAATGCAAAACAAGGTTTTGCACCTTTTTTCTGGAGCACGTCCTTTTTCCGCCAAAGTTCTGCAGGGCAGGGCAGGGCAGATGGGAAAAGTGATTTTAAGGAGAATTTAGCTTTAACTTCTTACCAAACCTACTAGTCACTGCCAAGCTAAATTCCACAATGCCAATACCCTCTAGCTGGGGGTCCGGACCTATTTCTGCATGCAGGACTAAACAAGTACCTAGTTTGGAAGGAAATATTTGATAGGCATGGATGAGTGTACCTCTTCTTTTCAGCTCTGTGGTCAGTGTGTTTAGCCAAAGTAGAAGCACAGGTAATAGCTGCTATACCGCAAGTCTCAGCACAAGGAGAAATGAAGGGTTGTCCCTTGGGTTATTAGCCTGCCGAACATCACACCTAGCTATAATAGCTACTCTATATGAAGGAGTAAACACAAAACCAAATTGCTCATCCGGGCTCATTTCTTTCCAGCCCTTCTGAAACAACAACAAAGAATGTACCCACTCCAGGGACAAGGATAGGACAGACTCGCACGGCTAGCTACCAGTGAAGATACTGTCCCAGATAAACAAAAGTTAATTTAAGCTACGGCCACCCTTCTGTCAAGCTTGCTGCAGCTCTACCATCACTTGCTTAACCAACACGCCGGAGTTTTTAAGAATTTAGGAAGTCAGGAATACAGCAAGCTCACGAAAAGAATAAAGCAATTTCATAACCAAAGGGAAAACAAAAAGAAGTAATTAAACACATTTCCAGGAATTTGGGTTTTTTCCCTCTTCTACTTTTTTTTTTTTTTTTTTAAGTTATTTATTGGACAACCGAGGCACTTTAATCTCTGAGCCAGAGGCAATGAATGGTCCTGGCAAACAGCAGCCTAGAAATTGGCACAGAGAACTACCCCACAGTTTAAATATGCTTATTCAGATGCTGTTCAAATTGTGTGAAAATTTAACTGTTTGCGAATTGGTACAGAACCAGTTTCAGGGAAAATAGTACACGACAGACGACCATCTCACAGTTTCTTAAAAGAGTTATTAGGGTCCCATCTTAAAAGTCAGCGGGCAGCATTTATTGGTGGTGATGGTGGTAGGGGGTGTGGGGGGGTGTGTGCGTGTTAAAGAATGGAAGCCAGGATGAGCACACATTTTCCAAAGCGCTGTGATTTGGCTTGTCTGACTCCAACCTTCCCCAGAGCATTGCCGCTTACCTCTTTGCAGTTAGATGCATATTTGAAAGTCAAGTTCCTTGGCAAGGAAGCCTCTGCCTGAGTTAGGGTGCCTCCGTCGGCACTTGGATCCAAAGGGTGATCGTTTACAATGTATGTGCACTTTTCTTCAAAATCGGCTTCCGTCCACAGAGTCATGTCAGCATCCTCCATGTCCATTTTCATTGTCCACTCTCTCCCTTTCACCAGATTCTTGAAACTCACAGCGTCCGAGCTACACCGTGTAGCAGCCTGGAAAATAAGAAAACAGCCTTTAATCCTCATTGTCCTTCAGTGTTGTGGTTTCCGTTGAGACAGCGTGACTAATACAGTAGTCTGTGACACTTTAAAAGCATATGCAGGATAGTTGGTACAGTTGAGTAATAGCCAAAAAGCAGTGTAAACGAAGCTGCTCTGACTGAAGCAGAGCCTTAAAACGCCAGCCTCAGTAATAATGAGGAGGGAACAAAAACAAAGAGGGAAAAATCCCTCGGCTGACAACTGCTTTACCTTTTTCAGACCCTTTCCTTAATGCCTCCGAGAGAAAAAATATATTCCATGCCAAAGAAAACGTGGGGTCATGGCCGTGAGACCACTTAGTCGCCTGTGGAAAAGCTGCCTCAGAAAAGTGTCACAAACAAGGAGAGGAAGAGGAAAGGAGCTGCTGTCTGCGTCTGAATGAAGCTAAAAATGGAAAGCGCATGTTGGAAGAGCGGAACCCAGCCTTGCCTCTTCCAAATGGGGAAGCCTGAACTTTCCCACCGGCTTTCAACACACAAACAACTTTCAAAACAACCTGGCCCCCCGCCTCCTCCTGACGTCCCCTTATCCTTTGGCATGGAAGGCTGAGAGAGCCGACATCCTGCCAGCATCACTGCAGCAGCCCTGCACAAAGCACCGCAACACGTTATCGGGGTCCAAAAAACAAAAGGAGCGGGGGGAAATAAATAATTTTTAAAGACAGTTTTTCTATCCCTTTTGATGGTACCTCCGAGAATTGCTACCTCAAAGCACTGGCCAGGAGCCTCGCAGGACAATTCCACCAAGTCCTTCGCCCCTCTGTCTATTCAGGACAGAAGCGCAGTTATCAAACCTATGCCCAAACAGGTACTAGGTCGGGCTCTTCCCCTGAGGTTCGCTAGAGACCGAAATCTCTGCCTACGCCGGTAGCTGGGAATGACGTTCAATCCCGGCGTAAAATCCCGTCTTTTTTTCCTTTTCGGATACGCCGCTACTGCGAAATTAACACCCTTCCTCCGGGAACACCGAGACGCGACGACTGAAACAGCATGATCTTCCCAGGGAGAGGGGAAAGGCTGCCGGACTCGGGGCTAACAGGGACCCCCGCCAGGGAGGCACGGCCGGGCCGTGCCGGCGGCAGCTGCCGGGAGAC